AGGTAATCAACTAACTAATCAGACTGCCAAACCTTAGCATCCAGAGTATCAGCAGCTCGGGAGATTCTGGGTTTGCTCTCAGCAGACCCACGGAAATTAACCAGAGCTGGAAAATAAGAAAGTCCACTGAAAACATGAATCATACTTCCACAAATTCAAGCAGCAATGCTGTTATTTATGGCACCAACTACGACGAAGTCAAAACTTTAAAGCTGTCAATCAGTGGATGTAGGGAGCAGTGTGATGATTAACAAATGAGAGAGGACCATATCCGCAGCAACATACAGTGTACATGACAAAGAGATGACTTTTGACTCCTCTGCAGTCTATAGATCTTGGAGTCAGGGCATGCAGGTCATCCTAGATGATTACCAATATATCTCAGGACAATAAACTTCTGCTTCCACATCTCTCCCAGGGGTATTTCATACCCTTTCTGGACAGCTCATTTCAGCCAGGCATAGAGCAACCTTCATTATGAGGGACTCAACATCTAACTTCTGGCATATCCCTGGCCAAAGCCAGGGGCCATTGAAACTGTTTTTATTTCATGTCCCAGTGACAGCCCTGAATGTTTGCTGAAGCTGATCTTGTGCATGCTGAGCATCTGTGTCTCCAGGGTAAACATCCCAATTCCTTCTACTACTTCTTATGTAACCAACTTGAGCTGGCAATGAGCGACGTCTTGCTAAGTACACAGCCAATAAATAATGAATGAATGAATGAATGAATGAATGAATGAATAGATGCTGCAGGCCGACTAGTGCTTGGGAAGTGACTTTGCCATTCTGCCTACACATTTTTGCTCCTGTGCTCATGTCCCCTTGCACTCAACAATGGTTTGTGACTCAGAGACTTGAGTTTATTCTTACATTCTATGCTGACAGGTATAGCACTCACACTCCAATCTGGGGATGTTGTTCTAAATATTGCCTTTATTCTCACATTTCTCATAATTTTCTCAACAGTTTGGTCAGATCATTACATTGATGACTCCAGGCATTCCTTCAGTTGTGTGGCTGAACCAAGTATTTTGATGCTTCATGCCAAATCATAAACACAGCTACAAGCTCCCCACAAACTCGATCTCCTTTTTGTCATTAGGGAATGTTTTCCTTACCAGCTAGCACCCAGAAAAAAAAAAAAAAACATGTATTACAGGGATCAAGGGTAACAACTATAAAGTGCCAAATTACTCCCTAGCCTCTGACTACAGTGACTGTGTCTATTCAGAGGCAATGCTCTAGAATTAGGAAGAGAGGAATGAAATGTAAGCTGCAAATACCTTCCATGTAGGAAACACTATCTAGAAAGAAGCCAATACAGAAAAGACAACCAAGGAAATGGAGGAAGATCTAAGAACACAAACATCATCTGAGCAACCTGACCCAACAACACTTCCTTCAACCTAGACTGGCTTTAACTTTCTTGTATTAACCACTTGTATTACTTAACAACCTAAAGAACGAAGAGCTTAACTTGGCTCAGTTTTCTAGCTTCATTATAGCAGGAAAGTCATGATGGCAGGAGTTTAAGGCAGCTCACCACATTACATAGCAGCAAGCAGAAAAATATGAACACTCCTGCTCAGCTTGCTTTCTCCTTTTCATTCATTCCAGGATCTCAGGTCTTAGAATGGTGCCACCCACATTAAGAGTGGGTCATCCAACCAAAATTAAACCAGTGTAGAACTCCCTTACAGACCAGAGGTTTGTGAAGAAGTTTCTCCCCTAGGTGATTCTTGAACTGATCAAGTTGGTAAGCATTAAACCGTTTCATTAATAAATATACCCCCAAATCTGTTCAGACTAATTTGTACCACTGAACAAGAATCACAGTTCTATAGCAATGTTTCCCCAGTGTTAGACCTTGCAAGCCACAGTATCAACTTGGTCAGAAAGGGATACGAGAACACAACTGAATGGCAGTTAAAGCCCAGACTCATGAGTAGAAAAGGTACTGAGAAAAAATGACTATTGGGTGGACTGCATTACATAGGACACACATATCATCGCTCCACTACCACCCACACCCACACACGGCACAGGGAACGTCATGGAGGAGGGATTGCAAAGAATATAACAACTAAAGAATAAAGAGAAGGGGCATGATCAACAGTCTTATGGGCATGACATGCCCATGACACTTATGAACTCAGAACAGCTACAATTGCTGATAGAGAGTCCACACAAGACTGACTCAGTAAAGTCACTCATAGATGAGGGAGGGGTTCATGGGGAATTACAGACTGCTGCTAACGGCAGATGAAAGCTACTACAGAAGTAAAAAATTCATTGTTGGCACTGATGCTCCCTCCACTGAGTTACTCAAGCTCAATGTAGAGAAATGCACCCATAGTCAAGATAGCCCTAGTTAAACTCAATACATTATTAAGCAAAAACAAAAGACACTAAAGTTGGATGGAGACTTGGAAAGAGCATATGGGGGTTGGTGGGCATGAGTGACAGTCAGGGAGGGTGGAGGGATGAATGTATCTATGATGAATTATATGCATGTATAAAACCAACAAAAATAAATTATTTTTTTAAAATTTAAAGAAAATTACTACAACATTACTAAATAAAGATTATGTGGCATTTAGTACAATTCCTTGCCAAAATCCAATACCCCCCCCCCCATGGTATCAGGAAAAAAATCTTAAGCTTTTAAATCTAAGCTGGTCTCTGTCCTGACTGGCTTAGAGAACTAGGGCAAGTGAACAAAACTTTTATCCTATGTTCTTACCACCTTTACAACAGGGCCATTCACTGTGCTATAATCACCGTTTAAAAAAACAGTCTGCAATGTCTGACACACAGAAATGGCAACAATGCCAGTTGTTTATATTGTCGATATCACCATTGCCTTCTAAAATTGTTATGCTAACTGTAAAAATACTTTTACTAATTCTTTTGAAAATTTCATGCATATGTGTACATATGCATACACACACTCACACCTCATCGTGATCATCTGCATCCGAACTCTCCCTTCCGTTCTTTCTAGACTATTATGCTAATATGACTAGCTGTTTTCCTATGTCGCCAAAAGCCTGCTTTCCCTTTGATTATTATTTTTCTTCTATTTGGGTTGCTATGCTATGCTTTACTATGCTTTGATGTGGTGTACTGTGATGGGCTGCGTTCTGCTCTGCTGTGGTTTGTGGTAAGGTCTGATTTAGTAAAGGTGTAATTATGTCAAGCCACTCTAGGCTGAAAAGCAAAACTCACTCTGCCTCAGGCTCTAGAGTGTTGAGGTTTTAGGCACAGTCACCATGCCAAGTCATATTTTCACATCTGGAACTGAGTTAGCCCTGGGGGCCTCTGCCTCTTTCACAGGGCATCTCTCACATTGACTCAGTTGAAAAACTTTCCTCCTAGCTTTGCCAGGATCACTATCAACTCCCCAATTTCCCTCTTACCCATCTGCAGAAAGGAGTCCCTCACTGTCAGAGCACAATTTAATCTATTAAACTGTTGACGTAATATCTCTCATGGGGCAAGGGATGTGACTAAGAGGAAGGGAACAATGACAGGGGTGTGACCCTGGGTTCCTGTCACCTCCATTCTGGGATGGACACATATGGCTCCACTGTGAAAGACAAATGATAACTCTTCCAGAGGACCCAACATCAGTTCCCAGCACCCATATCAGGCAGCTCAGACTGTAACTCCAATTCCAGCAGATCTAACATTTCTGGTCTACTTTTGCAGACATACACACAACTACACACAATTAAAAACAATAACAATAAAACTTTAAATAAAAAACAATCACCTCTGTTCAGCAAATGCATAGCTCTGTCATATTTATATTCAGCCTTGCTAATTCAAGCTCCAAATGTGGAGCCGAGGACCTAATTAAAAGGTAGCCTTGAAGAGCAATCAGGGTTCCCTGCCCTGTGGGAAGTCCAAGGACCACCCACCTCCATCCAGGTCTAGTAAGGTGAGCATCCAAACTGCCTAGGCTCTCACAAAGCCTCTTTGGGCTGACGAGGGAGGGGGACTTGATAAGGGGACGGGGTGGGAAATGGGAGGCGGCGGTGGGGAAGAGACAGAAATCTTTAATAAATAAATAAATAAATAAATAAATAAATAAATAAATAAATAAATAAATTTTAAAAAAAAAGGTAGCCTTGAACTGTCAATAAAATTACGTACAAAGGAAATATTCATACACATAGTATAATTTGTTGAGACAGTCTGTCATGTAAGATGCTTTTTCTAATTCAAGTGTGGGACAAATTAAAAAAAAAAAGTCTCCACATCTACACCACCCTTGCCTCCCTCCCTCCCTGAAGCAGTGACACAATCACCAACAATCAAGACACATTCAAAGTTGCTGGCTGGAGAAATGGTGAGGTTTGTCTTTCCTGTTCATTTCTGGAGAGTGGCAGCAATAGTCATTCATGTTTATTTGTTCAGGGAAGGCAATTCCTTTGTCTCATCCCCAAGCTCTCTTGTCAGTGTGAAGGATCATCTTTCATCCCCAGCCTCAGCCTGACATCTCCCCCAGGACCCTGCCTTTTCCACACCTGTCTGTCTCCCCCATGAAACAGTATATGTCTAGATGTATTATCTTTTATTTTCAGCACTAGGTTTACTGAGGATGTCAACAAGCAAGAAAATGTTGAAGGTGTAAACAAACGAATGAAGTATCTGGTTTCAGAAAAGCCAAGCCATTCACCAAGGTTCAACTTTCTCCCCTGTGTTTACACAGGGACCATGTGACCAAACAGGCTTTGGACATCTGTCTTCCCACTTCCTGCCACTACAAAAACTTATATTTTAGTTTTAGTCTAGTTTTTTTTATTTAACTTCTTGCCTTACTTATTTGCTCCAACTACCTGTGGAGATGTGCCAGATGTCATTTCTCAAGACAGGTAATATTAACCCAATATTTTACCCAATATTTTACTAGGACTTCCAGGACCTCTCTAGGCCTCTAACAGATGGTCTCCCCCTGCCCCACCTTCCCTTTCACTTGGCTTTTGTTCTTACCTTCAAAGCTCCCAGCAAATAAGTAAATCCAGGTGATGGCTGGGATGCAGAGCAGAGTCAAAGAGGCAGCCAAAAATTTCCGTCTCCCTCTGCAAATTCCCAGCATCCTCTCAGAAGTGGCAATTTCTAATTTCAGCACCTTGTCTCTGTCCAAAGCATGAAGTCCTCAGTATCCCTCATAATACTTTCTGGAAGGAAAAATAGAAGAGGAAGAGCTGAATCCCATTATGATGAGCAGACGCAGGCAAAATGAAAGAAAAACTATCCCACAGATCCTAAAAATAGATTCCCAGGGCCATGGCTTCCTTCTCACCTTTCTATCTCAAGAGATGATAAATGATGCTATAGTCTTGCCTTTCAAAACAGAGACACTAAATAAATAATGAGGTCTTCAAGAAATCTCTCTCTCCCTCCCCCCCTTCTCTCTCTCACATGGATTTAGATAGCATATTTTATAAACAAAATACTGAACAATGCTATCAAAACTAGGACCTAAGCTGATATCAAAGAATAAAGTGTCCTGAGTGACCAACTAAAGAACATGATCCCCAAGAAATTTATATGGACCATTGATTAAGGCAAGAAAAAAGTGTTAGCTTAACCATGTTATGGTCAACATGGCAGACAACTCTTGTGTTCCTAATAGAAAACACCCTGATAGGCAGCTGAAGCAGAATGAAGAACGCACCTAAAGAACAAGAGCTTGATTAGGTCACAACATAGCCTGCTGAAACAGGACTGTGGTCAGAGCAGCTGAAAATATCTCAACTGTGAATCGTCTGCATAGCCCCCTACTCTGGTAGATTCATAAAAAATAGAAACAATGAGAATGGACAAGAGTTAACCAGCTTGGACCATTACAATAAATAATCTTTAAACCAAAACAAAATGGCAGTAATGGGTTAAAAGAAGAGAAAGAAAGTTGCCGGGCAGTGTTGGTGCAGGCCTTTAATCCCAGCCTTTAATCAGGAGGCAGAGGCAGGCGGATCTCTGTGAGTTCGAGGCCAGCCTGGATTACAAGAGCTAGTTCCAGGACAGGCATCAAAGCTACAGAGATCAAAGCTACAGAGAAACCCTATCTCGAAAAAAACCAAAACAAAGAGAGCGTAGAGAGCTCATGATATTCATCTCAACACTTACACACACACACACACACACACACAGAGAGAGAGAGAGAGAGAGAGAGAGAGAGAGAGAGAGAGAGAGAGAGAGAGAGAGAGAGACTCCCTTCCTGCTGACTGCTGATCCAGATGTAAAACTCTCAGCTAGCACTCTGGCAACTTGACTGCCTGTGTATAATCATGCTTCTCACAATGATGATAACGGACTAAACCTGTGGACTGTAAACCAGCTCCAATTAAAAACTTTCTAAGAGTTGCTGTGCTCATGGCAACCCTTCACAGCAATAGGACACTGGCTAAGACAGCAGTTGGTACAGGGTCAGAAGTATTGCTGTGATAGGCCTGACCATGCTTATTTTAGAGGAATGTGGACTTTGGGACTGGTTTAGGAAAACTTTAAGCTGGCCTTAATGGGCCATACTAATGGAAGCTAGTGTTGCTGAGAGTGATTTGAACTGTGGGAGCTCAGCTCAAGGGGTTTCTCAGAAGGAGAATATTAGTATTAGTTTGTGGCCTAGAGACTCATTCTTGTAACATTCTGCAAAGAATGTGACTGCTTTATGTTCTTGTCAAACAAAAGTGTGCCTGAGGCTAAATTGAAAGTTTGGGATTAATAGCTTTGGCAGAGAAAATTTCAAACCTGCCTGGTATTGACTGTTTTGTGGCTATTAGTGGCCAGTATCGTATGTTCAAGATATGTGGATTGTGGAGGCAGAGACAGGCGAATCTCTGTGAGTTCGAGACCAGCCTGGTCTACAGAGCTAGTTCCAGGACAGGCTCCAAAGCCACAGAGAAACCCTGTCTCGAAAAAAGAAAAAAAAAAAAAAAGGTGGATTGTATAGAATTACTTAATAGGAAGACATGGTAACATCTTTGAAAGTAAAAAAAGAAAAAAAAAGAGTATCTAAGAAGAAAAAAATGGCCCCAAACCTTAAGAATATGGACCCAACTGATATCCTAAGTGCCTGTCATGATTAGAGAATCAGTACCAATGTTCACTGTCCTAATGACTGGCTAAGTCTTGCTTGTCTCTTATACCATGCATTCCCTGCATCAGATGCTGTCCTGGAGTGTTTTTCATCCTTTCTAGAATCTGATAATGACTTTTGAGTCCTTAGTGCCTCTGTGAAAATATCCCAATAAGTAAGGCTGATCTGGAGGCTTTTGCCTTCTACTTCTGAACACTAGTCTCTCTGGCCCTGGCCACTCTACTGAGCCTCAAATTCATATATACAGTAAATAGATACACCTGTGTCTAGGATCCAAAACTTCCTTTCCCATCACCTGCTGCTGCCTGGACCTTTCCCTCCTCACAAATGTCAGCACTATTTACTTAGGTACTTGATCATTCTTAATTCTATGTTTATCTTTCTCACCTTGTCCAATCCCTATAATCCTTCACAGTCCTGTCATTTTCACTTTCAACACATGCTTCAAATACATCCCGAGTTTACCACTTTCTCCTGCCATCACATGAGGTATGGTCACCGCCACCTTATACTTAGTCCTATTGTATCAGTCACCTAATTCAAATTTCATCTAAAATTATTCAGTGTTTCTCAACAGCTCTTAAAATGAATCCCAAATGCATGGCCATGTCCATGATCATCTAAAAACTTCTCTAACCTCCTCTGACATTTCTGTTCTCTTCTGCTCAGCATGTCTCCCTTTTCACCTCTGGACCTCACCTCATCAACTCCGCCACTCTATTCTTGATGCCACAAATCTGAATCATCGTGACCTCTGCTCCACCGTCTTGCTCCCCTCCATGCAATCTAGAGCTTGGATGCTGAGATCAGAGAACTCTTTGCTAATAATTCTATACCTAGGGAGCCCTCCCCAATTTGTCTATCACCATGCCCTGGTCATTTCCTTCATAGTTCTCATCAAATTCCAAAGTGACAAAATTCTCTGAAAAATTGTTTTTCTATCAACCATCATACCCAGTAAATTTTAATTTCCATTTGAGCATAAATTCTAACAGCTTCATCATTGGTGTATACTTGTCCTAGTTAAGAGTTTCTATTGCTGTGATGAAACACCACAAACAAAAGCAAGTTGAAGAGGAAAGGGTTTATTCTGTTTACGCTGTTCATCATTGAAGACAGTAAAGACAGGAACTCAAACAGGCTGGGGATCTGTAGGCAGGAGCAGATGCAGAAGCCATGAAAGACTGCTGCTTACAGAACTGTTATGGTTTGATCAGCCCACTTTCTTATAGAACCCAGCACCATCAGCCAAGATGTGGCCCAATCCATTGTGGCCCTCCGGCATCAAATACTAAGAAAATGCCATACAGGTTTACCTACAATCTATGAGTGCATTTTCTCAACTGTAGTTTCCTCCTGAGATGATTTTATCTTCTGTCAAACTGACATAAAAGTTATCATCAGTACAACACTCGTGGACTCAGGCAGCGATGTCTAATGCTTGCTGAACACATAACAAAATGTGCTATTAGATACATATTCTGTACTTAGTCTAGGACTCTTTAAATGTCTATTTTTTAAAACAGTGGTCTGGCAGCCAGGTTTGTAATATAGGAAACAAAATCTGCACACAATTCCTGAAACAGGTCCTCCAGCAATGATATATCCTGCGGACACCGTCGGGTGCAGGGCAGGTCAGCGGCAAAGTTTGTTTTGGTAATTTTCTCTCCTTCTCTGCCTGCAAGAAAGACTACTTCACACTAGGTCTTGAATCATGTGCACATGTTCTGCACATTACAGCTATAGCATCTCCTGCTGAAGATAGTCTTCAAACTAAAAACACATACAGTATGCCTAGAATAAACACTGAAACCCAGCTGTTCCTTGTATTGTAAAGGTCATTCAGGGTCATTTCCCACCATCCCAATTTGTCCTGATCCCGCTGTGAAATCCAGTTCTCTGGCTGTAGAAAGGCATAAGGCTTTGTTTTGTTTTGTTTTCTTCAGAACCACTGTGCTGTCGCAGATCAACAACAGTGGTCTACCCAGAGCTTTCAACTCAGTTTCCTTTCACCTACTTCCTTCAGCTCTATGGCTCAGACATATTTACTGTCAACAGAGAATTCCACTCATCCTGCCTCTTTCATATGAAAAGAAAACATGATCTTCATGTGGTAAGAGCCACATGTGTCATTCACAAAACCCAGGAATCTGGAAACATGGTTAAATTGTCAACTGTCACCTGTTGGTCACCTAGAAAAGCCATTTCATAACTGCCTTCAGCACTCTGGTGTGAGAATCCATGGCTATATCAAATGCAGGTGAAAGGAGCCAGAGAGAGACAATAAGATAAAAAAAATACACCAAAGGAAGATCCATGTAAGAAGCTATGAAATTAAGATTAAAATTGATTAAAATAAAATGATTAAAATTAAAAGTGCATTTACAAAACACTTGTCCAATCAAATTCTCGGGCTAGGGAAGACACAAATGACTTCTTGGTTTCTATCTGTGAATCAGGAAGGAAGGAGAAAGCTAACAATGTGCACGGTGTGCTGTGCGGTTGCCTCCGGGCCACTTCTTTGTAAAGGGAGAATTACAGAAATGAAAAGAATGTTCTTTTATCTGCAGATGGGAAATGGAAAACACTCTGAGCTCATCATTCAGTATGTTACTACTCCCTCTTAACCAACCATATTCATTGTTTAAAAAGAGATGACCCTGTGAAAAAACTTAAACAGTAGTACATACGCCCACATACTTCCCACAAGTGACTAAACCGTGGCTTAAAATATCAAATGGAAAATTCTAAAAATTAGTTTATCGCGTGATATATCTGTGTGAAGATGTATATGAATGACCCTAGTATCCTGAATATCCAAGCAGTATATGCTACCTGCCTATTAGTCAACTACCAAATGTCTCTGCTAATCACTTAACAATTGTCTCGGTTATGAGATCAACTAAGAGAGAATCTTAGCAATGAGGGCAGGAGATAAAAAACTAGTTAGGCAGCTTAGACAGGAAACCCCAAAGCAACAGGCTCAGAAATATCCTTGTCTGGAAAATGAACTTGTGACAAAAATAATGAAATTCTGTACCAGACATTAATTCTTCCTGATGAACAGCTTTGGAATTG